CACTCATTTCATGAACAGAGAGAGAACATAGGCTAATTTTAACTTGAAGTGAAAATATGACCTTGATTTAGAATTTATAAACAATAGACTTAAAGTGGGAGAAAATTCCAGATTACTCTTCTTCATAGAATACAGAGCATCTGAAGTGAGAAGTAAGGAGCTGTCATGCCTAAGCTAGATGCCATAAGGTTGGTTTGTTTGTTAGATTCAAGAGCCTATTATTATTTGTTTAGCTTAAACTTCACCTTTTTGTTTTCCCTGGGTAATTTTAGTAGAAAAAATCCTAAAAGGGCTCCCCAAGGCACCCTTCCAGTTGGCCAAGTGCCCCCTGCATGATCTCTGGGACTGTCATATGACAGATTTCACTTTGTGATTAGGTCAAATTAGGTATTACAGGTGATCTAAAATATGTGATTATCTAAGTGGGCCTGAACTAATTACAGGACCCTTTAAAGGCAGGGGTTTGTGATGGTTAATCTTGATTGTTGACTTTGATTGGATTGAGAGAAAGACTACTAGGAAATAAGTACACTTGTGGGTGTGTCTTTGAGGACATTTTCAGAGAAGTTTAAACGACTAGACCACAAAGGTTCTGACTTAATCAATGGCTTAATCCATTTGTGGATTCAAAATTTGAAGAGGTGGAGGTGGTAGAACTGTGGAAGGTGGAGCCTAGTTGAGGTGGGTCACTGGAGGTGTGCCTTTGAAGGGTGTATCTTGGTCCTGGCTCCTTCCTGCTACTCCTCTCTGGTTTCTGACTGCCAAAGATAAACAGCCCTGCTTCTTCACTCCCTTTTCTCCACTGTGTTCTGCCTCACCTCAGGCCCAAAGTAATGGAGCCAGTCAACCATAAACTGAAAGAGTGAACCAAAATAAATCCTCCTCCGTTAAAAAATTTCAGGTATTTATCACATTGATGAAAAATCTGACTAACACAGAGTTTTCTCCAGTTGGTTGCATATAGATTCAAAGATTCAAAATACAAGAAGGATGTAATGCTGACTTTCTGGCTTGAAGATGGAGACCACCTTGCAAAGTATATGACAGCTTCTAGGACTTGAGAGTGGCTTCTAGCTGACAACCAGCAAGAAATTGGCCCTCAGTTCAACAGCAACCAAAACAACTGAAGGATGTCAGTGCCTCACCCAGTGCCTTCTGTTGAGAAATCAACTTGGCTGACACTTTGATTTCTGCCTTATGATACCCTGAGCAAAGAACCTAGTCATGTCACGTGGGACTTCTCACTTCAGGACTGTGAACTAATAAACAGGTATTTTAAGCCACTAAGTTTATGGTAATTAAATATGCAGCAATAGAAAACTAATATATAGCAATATAGGCCTGTCATAGGCTTGGTATGTGGATGACAAAAAGTAGATTTTGATCCTGGCCTGGTCACTTACTTTCCTATGATTTTGGGCAAGTCAGTTCCTTCATATTCATAGTTTACATATAATTGTACTAATAACTATGTAGCCCAATTAATTAATTAGGGTTAGCCCTAACCCTAATTAAATCAGAATCTCTACTTATGAGGTCCAGATATTAGATTTTTTTAATTCACCAAGTGATTTTAATCTGCAGTTTTTCCAGTCTCTCATTCTTGGTTCTCATACAAATGTAACGACCACATGTAGGACCCATTTTTAAAATTGTTTATTTGACATCTCTAGAGGCATCTCCAACAAAGCATGTCCAAATAATAAACTTATTTTTCCCTCTAACCTTGCTTATCTTACCACCACCTTCCATCTGTTTTCCAAGCTAGAAAATTACAAATCCCTTCCTTCCTCCCTCTGCTCTCCATTCATAATCAGGCCAAGTGCTGTTTATTACACTCCAGTATTCTGGAATACTGAAAACATCTTCATGTCCTCTCTAATCCCTTACTTGGTCCTTTCCTTTCCCAACTGGAACCTACTTTCCTTGTTAAACATTCTCCATTGGAAACCAGGCATAATGGTTCAAATGGTAAAGTACCTACCTACCAAGTGTGAGACCTGGAGTTCAAACCCCAGTACAGAAACAACAAAAAACAAGGCTTCTTTACGGGGTGCTTAACACCTTCAATAGCTAGGGTCTTACCTTTCTTGAGCACTGTATCTCATTCTTCTTTCCTTGACCCTACTAGCATTTCATGCAGCATCCAAATTCAGCATTTTTTTTTTACCTTGCTCTTCATCCTTGTCCATTGCAGTTTTTCCACATCACCCTTGCCCTCTCATTTCACTCTCCTAGCTCTAGAAGGCTTCTCCAACATAGTTATATCCCCTCTTTCCCAACACAGGTTAGTTGCCCCTCTACAGTACTTTTACACCATTTATCCAACTAGATAGCAATTACCTGTTTACCTGAACCCTTTCTTGCCATTTTATCCCCAATCTTATGTCAGATAACAGGCTGGAATATATGTGGAATGAATGAATAATGAGTGAAAACATTCCTAGTCATATCCCAGTACCAAATGGTTCTTTTTAGTAACCCTTAAAACCACCTGGTCAAGGACAGAGGGTATGACCTGTGAAAGGCAATTTATAGTTTTTGAGCCCCTCACCCCCAGCAGATCAAACTCATGGCCCTGTCGACACTCAGCACTCTACCACTGAGCTATACACCACCAGCCTTTGAACTGTTTAGTTTCTTGCCTTTACAGGCATCTTATCTGGGCTGGTGGAGTGGACAAGTAGAGAGCCTGCATAACAAGTGTGAGGCCCTGAGTTCAAACCCAGTGCCACCAAAAATAAAATAGAATACCTCATCTGGCCACTGTCTTCGTTCCCTAACATCAGCCTGAACCAAAAAGGGCTACTAAAAGATACTAGGGAAGAAAGCCTGAGGAGAGTTTAACTGTAGCTTACTTAATGAACTTCGGGAGAGCAAGAGTTGGAAGGAGAGTTTAACTGTAGCTTACTTTATGAACTTCGGGAGAGCAAGAGTTGGAATGCTTCCCACTAGGCAAGGCAGAGTGCTGGACAAAAGCTTTACAACCCTTCAGAAGCAAGTTCTAAATTTTTATAACAATCTTAGAGTTCCACAAGGTATACATCTACCGCGAATACAGTGTAAAGATTTTCCTACACCTCCTTTTGGGATCATATTGTAGGTTAGTTCTCAGTTATTCTAGATCCAATTTGAATGTAAAGCAGACCCTTCAATTGTAGCCTTAACATTTTTTGTGGGACTCTAAAGGTCCCTGAGGAATGTAATGATTTAGTTTTGTTGAGTCATAATTTTTGAATCATGATGGAGCATGGTACATCCCTCACAATCCACATCTCAACCCATCATGTCACACTGGAGAACTCAATGAGCGATCATGAAATGTTCTGGTGCCATTTAATTGCCCCTAATGCAGAAAATTACATGCTGTGATATTCAAGATTGCAGGATATAGCTCTTACAGATGTTGTGTGTACTACAGTGGTTTTTACCTTACCAGAAAAAATTTTCACAAAAAAAACCCGTCAGGCTGGTGGAGTGGCTCAAGTGGTAGAGTGCCTGTCTAAGCAAGTGTGAGGCCTTGAGTTCAAATCCCAGTACCACCAAATAAAAAAACAACTCACATGATTAAAAACCCGTCACATCCCACAATGAGAACCAAGCATATTTAGGTAAGTGACCTTCCCAAGAACCAGGCTAGAAAAATAATACCTGACAACACAGCTAATTTTGTGGACATGAGAACCTTGAGAAATCCACATCCTGGAGGCTGAATTTCAGGATGTTCCTTTCTTTAGGTAGAGTCTCAAAAAAAAAAAAAAATGTATTATCCACACCAATAAGCTTCTGGAAATGGACATGTGTTATTTCAGCATGAGGTGATATAATCCAGAGGAAAGTCCTCAAATATCAGGTGCTGCCTAATCCAGTTTCTCCCAGAGCACAGTTATAGAGGTCAAAAACTCAGGCTAAACTCACCCACTTTGAATTCCAACATTATGATTAATCAATCAGCTATGTTACCTTGAGCTAATTTAGTTCTTTTGTGTGCCTTTCTTATCTTCAAAATGATGATTGTAACATTTTCCTCTTAAAATCATCTATGTAATCCAGAGAATGCTGGGAGCTCTAGTCACAGCTCTCTGTACACAGAAGCAGATACACATTTAATGTGAGGCCCCACTTGTCTCTAATGGGCAGAAATTGTGCTTGTTCTGATTTGAGCAGTTTCTAGGTGACCATCTACTTCCTGAACCTGAACTATACAGACAAAATGTAAACAAATATATTCACTGTCATTACTTTTGCCAAAAGTCTGGGTTTTTGTTGTTTTTAGGACAAGATCTCTCTATGAAGTGAAGGCTGGCCTTGAACCTTGAACTCTCCTGCCTCAGTCCCTTCTGAGTGCTGGGATCACACCCAGCTTTTGTTAAGATGGTGTCTGTTACTTGGGTTCAAGCTATCCTTTTGCCCTAGTCTCCTAAGTTCTAAGATTACAGGCACACACCACTGTGCCTGGTTTTCAAAGGTCTTCAAATCGAAATTCAATTGTTTATGCTTCAAACAGCAGAATTTGAATCCTTATAAGAAATGGCCGAAAATTTGAGAATTTTACATCTATTGTTATTTTTGCGGTGCTGGGGATTGAACCCAGGGCCTAGTGCATGCTACCTCTAAGCTATACCCCCGGCTCCTGATTTTTATTTTTTGAGGTGAAACAGGCCCAGAATAAAACACTAGCAGTTATCCCCCTATGCCAAGATGGGATATATTGACCAATATGTCACACTGAAATGGTAGGGGCTGTTAAAACTACTTATCTGTTCATGGGCCCTCCAGAGTGGTACTGAAATATCAGGGGTTTTTGGATGTTTGTTTTTTTTTTTCTTCCTTTCAACTTCTCAAAAAGACCAGGATTCCAGGACTCCCACACTCCCAAAGAGAACAAATTACCAATGGACCAGTTCCTCCCCCTGCCAACCACTGCTTCCTGCCTAGCAGGAATAGAAGCAAATCAGACAAACAATATAACTTTTTAAAAATTATTTAATTTAGTAGGTTTTTTTGGAAAAAAAGCAATAAGGCAAAAAAACTGAAAATATATATAGTTTTGTTTTGTTTTGAAGTGACTTTATTCCACCTTCAGGACTTTGTAAGCTTCTTCCATTAGCAGGAATCTGGAGATCAAGCCAGAAATGTAGTGCAGAGGGTAGAGGAAGAAAAGGGAGATAAAATGGGGAAGTTCAATTTAGTGGGGGAATTCCTAACTCTACCCAATGGCCCCGGAGGAGGTCCTTGCTTTTATGGACCTCCAGGAAAGAAGCCCTGGCACAACCCCTTGCTTATTTATGTTAGAAAAAGGATTCTTAGAAGGAAATTCCCTAGCAGCTGCTCCTCTCCCATGTTTATCACAAATAGGGAAAGGGAATGAAAGTACTAATTTACCCAGTAAAATCCAATTTCCCTAGAGGGATGGCTTCCTCTGGAATGATATTTTCCCCCAAGACCTACACTGGCTGAGGCTCAGCAGTTAAGGAACAAAACAAAAAACACTTAACAAAAAGCATACAAGGAAGGCACCTCGATTTGTGATCCTCAACCAAGGGCAGGTTGCACAGGGGTTAGATTTCTGAACAAGACAACTAAAACAAATACAGAACAAACAAAGAAGGAAGCCAGGCCCAACAGGAGGGGTTCTCTTATCCACTCCATGTGATGGTGCTTTCAACACCACATCCTAGGAAAATTCTTTTGGGACTTAGCCTCTGTGCTGGACAGAGGCAGAAGTAAACTAGAAATTATCCTCTTGTCTTTCTACCCACTCTTCCTAACAAAGTAAGAAAAGAGGCAGGAAAGAGATTAGAATTTCATTTTCAAGAGTCAGGTAATTAGGACAGCAGAGCTTAGATATCATTGGGTCCCCACAATACAAGCCCTAGACAAAGTTCCTGTTCAGTAACTGCCAGACATGATGCTGCCTGGGTTCCAAATCTTCCTCTAAAAGATGGAAAGCAGAGAAGCGCCAATGCTTATCAACATGTGTCCAAGACAGTCCCAGGGAGACAAGTGATATCAGAAACCAAGATTCTTAATGGGAAGGAGGAAAATCAAACAAAAAAAATTAGATTTTTCTCTACATATATATAATATACAGATATTTAACACATTATTCCAGAGGTGGCTCCAGTCCATGGGGCTTGAGGGATGGTGAAAACTTTTGCTCCAGATTAACTTCTCTCAAATTCTGAAGTGTATCAGAATGGGACAGTCAATGCTTTGCTCCAGACTGGGGCACAAACCCAAATTGGTATTGTGCCAGGAGGAAGAAACTAGAAAGGCAATGAAGGACGGGGTGAGAAGAAACTGGGACGGTAAAAGTGGCCAGAAGTCTCTGTATTCTCCGAAGTTCTCTACCCAAATCCACAAAACCTCTTTATGAGGTTAATGTTACCCTCTTGCCAACCACCAAATTGGCCTCCACTTGCTGTCAAAGACACGGAACAACAGATGGGTGCTTTATGCAAGTGAAGATAGAAATTTTCCAAGAACATAACTGAATATTCCAGGCCAATAGAATGATTTCTCTTGTAGATGTTCCAATACCTTAGATATTTAACCATGAACTCCCCACTAAATTGACGCCACATGTGAACACATTTCATGTTAGATCCAAGCTCCACTGTAACCACGCATGACGCCTCTGCTGGTTAAGTCTTATGTGTTTCTTTTTAAAGGAACTTTAAAATCAGTTCTTGCTCTGAACAGCACCAAAATGCTTGTGAATCACAATCTTACGCAGATCTTGGCTGAGCAGGATACCACGGGGAGGGCAAACATCATCTTAAATGGGGACACAGGGAGAAAGAAGAGCCAAGAATACTTGACTTTGCAGATGTAGAGTAACACTAACTTTCAGCCACTAAACCTCTCCCTTACAAACACAGGTATCTAGTACGGCAATTTCAATGTCAATCAGCTAAGGCAACCAGCCAATCACCACCAATGGTGTCTGCTTCTGGTGATTGATTTGGAAAAAAGTGATTGGTTAAGACAGACAAACTTGAGGAAAGCACTTGGTAAGAGTCACAACTCCCTGCTTTCCTGCACATCCTCTGTCCTCTTCTCTGATCGGTCGATCCTCTTCCTTTGTTACTGCCACTTCAGAAAATGTCTGGACATGAGTCCCAGTCCTGCTTTTCTTTACACTCCCAGTATTCACCCCTATAAATATGGGTTAACTCCTTAGTAACAGGGTCCTTCTTCCGCTCAAACCACAGTGCTTTATAGGGATCATATGGTGTGCCTAAAAGGCAAAGAGGGGAAAGAAAAGCAAAATTAGAGCTGGCACTCTCCACATATCAAGAAGTAAGAGTAGAGGGCAAGTTCATTACCATCTTCTGTGGCTTTCATAGCTTCTGCTTCTCTCTTCTTCCTGGAAAGTCTTTGTTTTTCCTCTAGGCGCTGTTTCTCAGCATTTGCTTCATCCCAGCGTCCATTTTCCATCAGTCTCTGGTCAGGTCGTAACCGGCTGTCTGTGGGTGCAGTGCCACCTTCCCAAGCATTGAGAGTTAGAGCAAGCTCTGAGAAGTAATACATGTTCTCTGCATTCTTCCTAAAAGTAAAGAAAAAAAAAAAAAAAAAAAGGATATACCAAAGCTCAGACCTTTGTTAAGTAGTAACAACCCAAGTACACTGCCAAGACTATACTACCAAGGTTGTTCAACAAGTGGAAAAAAATCTAGGCATCAGTTAAGAGAGCCAAACTGGATCACTCCCATATCTCCCTAGAATCACTCCAATGGTCATCTGGAGTTGTACTGTACTCCGCTGAAATGATCTGTATTTATTAGGAAGAATGAAGCATTCTACTTAATAAAAATTCCTTGTTTCTATTTCCTTTGCTTCCTTTCAAACTTCCTTTTGGCATAATCTTGGCTACTATTACTGACTGAATATATCAGATGATGCAGAAGATAAATGGTCTCCATCTTGTTTCCAAAGTCCTGTATTGTCTTAGGAACTTTCACGCTGCTCCTGGGCCTTTAGGTTAAATTGATAATAGGTGGTAGGCACCTTTCTCCTCTGACTGCTTTTGAATGGTTCTGCTCTAAGTGAGATATCCTTAGGAAAAAGAAATATTTGGGGGCAGATATTAGTTAGCACTTCCTTGGGACAATGCATGCTACAACTCAACTCATGTACTGAGAACCTCTGGTAACCTGTCCAATGATCTGATTTCCCTAGTTTGGTCCCTCACATAAATAAGAAGGAAGGCAGGCAGGAATACCTTTACACTGCTCCACAGTTAAGACCTAAGTGGCCTCCAGGCAGCTTGCATACTGATACTCACGGTAAAGGATTCCTTTTCCACAGCATGACCCTGCTTTCCTCTGCTTCATGGCCTCTCTGTCGAGCATCACCTCCATTTTCTCCAGTGGCTGACTGTACTTTGAAGCAATCCATTTTTTCATCCCATGTCCCCAGAAGGGCAAAGTGAACTTTTCCTGATGGATCTGTCACTTCGCCTGTCACCTGCAAGGATAGAGAACATTTTTGGAGAACTTTCACTATGGGGTGGCTTACAAGGCTAATTCAGAAATCAAAGTCCATGGTTAAATACTGCTTAAATCCTGTTACAACAAACATTATGGAGTTACACAAATTATTTTGTTGTATTGTTTTTGAAACACTACTTTGAAGTAACTGACCCATGACTTGGAGGCTTCATAATCACTTTTGTTGCATAGGGGTTTGTTATTGTTTTTACCTTTCTTTTTTTTTTTGGCAGTACTGGGGTTTGAACTCGGGGCCTCAAGCACTCTACTACTTGAGCCACATCCTAGGCCCTTCTTGAATAGTGATTTTTGATTTAATGACATATGTAGGAAAAGCATCTACTTGGTATTTGGAATTGTATTTTTCCCTCTAGAAATCATGGAGACCTATAAATATTCAAATCTCTAGCTATTTTAACTCTTCCACAGAAACTTGTGGCACAATTCCACTGTGGTGGTAGCACACAACTCTACCTTGAGTCTCCTTTCCTGCTGACTTTCTTCTTCCTCTTTACTTGTTCTGAATCACCATATTTAGGATATCCATCTTTCTACCTATCTGTTTATATGCATGTGTGTATTCACACACATACACTTATATACATATAAGGCTATTTCCAAAGGACAGGCTTTCTAAGAGATGCACACTAAGTGAAAAAAAATTCAATTTTCCTTACCTTTCTTGCTACATCTCGAGAGAAGTAGCTATAAGGAACAAATTTAAGATTACACTTGTCTCCTGTCTTGTGATTTACAATATCAATTTCACCAGACTGAAAAATGAAAAGAGTAATGGATTAGTTTTATAGAGATTGGATGACTTGAATATCTGCCAAACCCTGTACCTAATAATTCTTTATTCTTCAGTCTTACATTCTAGTACTCTGCTGCTTAAGTCTCAGGTCTTAACCTGAGATGCTGTGGAATCTCTTTGTAACTTTGGTATTCCAGGTTGGGATTAAGACCAAAGAACCATTTGCTTTGTCTGTCACATGTTAGGTGATATGATTTGACCTTTGGCACATATAATGAAATTTACATTATAATTTACTTTCTCAAACCAAACCCTCACTAGTATCCTTCTCTCTTGTCCCTTTCTCCCTCTCTATTTCTCCCTGCTTTGCCCTGCTTTACTAAATAAACCTTTGTTAATCTTCGAAAAAATTAAATAAACTCCTCTGCTAAGATCAAAGTACTCACAGTTTCAAGGTTATATATGGCAGGCCTTTCTAGACTTTCTTCATTTCATTTTTCCCTCTTTTCTATCTTCTGAATTCCAAACCACTCTCTAAGATTCAGCTTCATTCCACATCTATTGTGAAGCACTGGTTGACCATTCAGAAAATATTCCTTTTTTTTTTTTTTCAATTTACTGCAACCATTGTTTTAAAAGCAAACTAACAGTTAGCTATTAGTACATCTCTTATATTATTGTATTTTATTGCATACTTTTCAGTCTTCCCCTCTTTGCCATATATCTTCAACGGTATAGTAACTCCTGGAGTAATTTCTCATCTGGCTTTGCAACCCCAATACCTAGTGTATTGCTTGACAATAAATGTACCATGAATAATGAAAGAATTAAGAGTGGGGGCCATGTTTACTATTGTCTTGTATTCTTAACATGGTCCTAGTTGTCACTGATGAATGTTACAGTTTGGTCATTCATAAATAATAATTTGTGGTACAGAAATTTGGGGAGGTGGAGGTAGGACTACTGCCTGAGAGAAATTCTTTAGAATAAACTGATAAACAGTAACACCATTCTGGGGCTAGTTCCCTTATCTTAAATACTGCAAAGATTACCTGAGGTGGTGTTCTGAATTTCAGAAGCACTTTTGGATACTTTTGCTCACCTGATCTATCCACAACTTGCCCACGATAATATTGTGTACTGTTGTGGTAACTTTTTTCCAAGTGTAATGGTGCCCAGTTGCATGGAAAATACAGTGGATGGTACCTAGAAGCAGAGTGGTTACAAATTAAGCTGAATACCAGAAAAATAGTGCTATCCAGACTAAAACAATAACAGGTTGATTTTGTTCTGATACTTCATACTTTAAAAAGAAAACAAATATTTTAAATAAGGGACTTCTAAAATGTTAAAGCATTGATTGAATTTTTCTTCATTTGATCTTTTAAATATATGAATAATATATAACTAAATTAATGACAAACACTGACAACTGATCCATCTTAGCTAGGGAGCTACATTTCACAATACCAATAGCAAAATTTACAGGAACAAGTCAAATATGACCCAACGTGAAAAAATAGAATTGCATTGTGAAAGGAGCACACATTGGTAGTCAGTACTGGGGATTGGGCCCACTGTGTGGCCTTACACACACCACCCATCCATGGCCCTTAATAATAAAAGTGAAGGAGTGGATACAGGAGAGCTTTGGAATTAGAACTGGATTCAGTCCAGCTCTGCCACTTGTTAGATATGATTCTGTGTTGTATAATAAAGGACCTTTGCTGGAGAAGAACCTTTAAACCCCAGTCATCTCCCAAGGGATAGAGGTGTCACTGTTATTCATAGTGGGCCTGACACTGTATGATGGTGAGGTAATTTATGGTGGGCCTCTGACAGCTACAGTAATGAGATAATTAATTCAGGATGAGGACAAGCCAGACCAGAAAAATTAATCATATGATTAGAGAGTTAGGGCTTTGAGTCATCTGTTATCAGTCCAACCTCCTGACCTCCAGGAAGGGAAGCAAACTGTATATTGAATTCAGTTCTTATGGAAAATAATTTGATCTTAATGAAACCCCTAATAAAATCTCTGATCACCAAAACAAAGTGGTTTTCTGGTTGGTGAACATGTCAGTGTGAAAAGATGCTGATATGCTCCAATTCTTTGGGGAGAAGGAATGGAAGTTCTGTGTTTAGGATCCTTCCAGACTTCACCCTATAGAGCTCTTCATTTGATTGACTCCAATTTGCACACTTAATAAAACTGTAACAGTAAACACAGCACTCTCCTGAGTTCTATGAGTCATTATAGTGAATTGTCAAATCTAAGAGTTGTGGGAACTCCTGAATTTACAGCTAGTTGGTCCAAAGTATGGTGTCCTGGGTACATCTAAACTTGTGGCTTGCATCTGAGCAACAGCATCTTGTTGGGGACTATGCCCTCAACTTACAGAGTCTGCAGAAACTCTAGGTGGTTAGCAGGACAGTCACATTACACTATTGTACCCTGATTGCTTTTAACTTCCCTTGGCCCTGTTTCATCACCTGTAGACCTGGGATATCTATATCCTGGTATACAGTAAACATCTTGTGTTTGACCAATAAATGCTTGAAATATAATAGGCACTCTGTAGATACAGTTTTCTATTTCTATGAGGTGATCTCAAATGAATACTAAACCCATTAGTGGTGTGAGCAAAGGTAACTGAGGATTCATATATATATATATATATATATATATATACACACACACACATATAGTGAATAATATGATCAACTCCAACAACTCTGTTACCTTTGTAACCATTATGAAAACAGACTCTGTGGTTTAGACAAATCTTTCCTATACAGAAGATTCAAGTAGCCCTGGTAGTTGGTTGATGAGGATAACAACAACAATGGCAAAAACATTAATAGGTACTAACTGCAACACTGCTGGGAGCACTTGCCATGTACTAGACTCTGCTATATTCTCCTCATACATTACCTCATTTAATCTTCACAAACATCTTCAAAATACTTGGTCCACCTAAATATGTCTTTAATTTTTTGATCAATACCTCCTCCCTCTACCACCTCCTCAATTCTATGAGCTCAGTATTATCCTGATACCAAAACCAGTCAAAGGTACTACAAGAAAAAGAAAACTACTATGAAACACTATATACAAATCCTCAATAAAATACCAGGAAACCAACTTCAGAGGTATACTGAAAGAACTGTATAGCAGAACAAAGTGGGATTTATTCCTAGAATGCAAAGATGGTTTAACATATGAAAATCAGTGTAATAACACATTAACAGAATGAAATCAACAAATGGTCCTGGGAAAACTAGATATCGACATACAAAAGAATGAAGCTGGATTTTTTTCCTACTAGCACATACAAAAATTCAAAATGAGACATCAAACTATAAAACTCAGAAGAAAACACAAGGCAAAAGCCTCATGACATTGGATTTGCAATTGCTTCTTGGAAATGACATCAAAGGCATAAGCAACAACAAAAATGGACAAAATGGATTTCCTGAAAAATTTTAAAAGTTTGTGCATTAAAGAACAGTATCAACAGAGTAATATTTGCAAATCATATTTTTGATAAGGGATTGATATCCAGAATACATACAGAATTCCTAAAAACTCGCAGTAAAAAAAACCTCAATTAATAAATTAAGAAATTACTTAACATAGACATTTCTAAGAAGATGCATAAACGATTCAAAAGTACATAAAAATGGACTCAACACCACTATTAAACCAAAACCACAATGAGATACTGCCTCACAACTATTGGAATGACTACTGCCAATCAATCAATCGATAACAAAGATATGGAGTAACTGGAATCCTGAGTTCACTGTTGGTAAGACTATAAAATGGTATAGCCACTGTGAAAAACAGTATGGCAGTTTCTCAAAATATTAAAAATAGAATTACTATGTGATCCAGCAATTTTACTTCTGAGTATATACCCCAAACGATTGTTGAAAGCAAGGATTCCAACACATATCTGTACTCATGTTCATAGCAGCATTTATTCATACTAGTTAAGACATGGAAGCAACCCAAGTGTCCATTGACAGATGAACAGATAAGCAAAATGTGGTTTATGTATAGAATGGAATATTACTCAGCCTTAAAAAAGGACATTCTGACATTACTACAATATGGATAAACCTGGAAGATACTACGCTAAGCAAAATAAGTCACAAGAAGACAAATATTATATGATTCCACCTATGTGAGATACTTAAAAATCATACAGGAAGTAGAATGGCAGTTTCCAGTGTCAGAGGAAAGAGAGGATGGGTTGTTACTGTTGAATGCAGAGTTTCAGCTTTACAAAATGAAGAGTTCTGAAGTTAGAGGGTAGTGACAGTCACATAAAATTATGAATATATTTGATATCATTGAAATTGTACAGCTAAAAGGGTTGAGATGATGAACTTTTTTAAGTTTAGTGTATTTTATCACGATAAGAATTTTGAGGAAAAATAAATAAGACTATAGAGGCCAGAAGGCACAAGGATAACATATTCAAAATACTGAAATGAAAAGACAGAATTCTACCTCCAGTAAACTATCATACATCAACCAGAAGAATTTAAGACATTCCTAGAGCAACAGAAATGGAAAGAAATTATAGGCAGCAAATCTGCCTTACAAAAAATACTTAAGAGAGTCATTCAGGCTGACATGAAAGGACACTAGTCAGTAACTCCAATCCATATTAAGCAATAGTGACCAGAAAGGTAAGTGTAAGTGCAGTTAGAAAAGACAATATAAAGGTAGTGTTTGCTTGCAACTCTTTTTTCTTCTACATGATTTAAAAGGCAATTTCATATGATTTAAAAGGAACTTTATCTTCGTATCTTCATGAGATTATAATGTATAAAAATATAATTTGCATGAAAATACAAGCACAAAGTATGGGAAAGATAATGGATCTATATAGGTGCAAAGTTTTATATACTACTTAAACACTGTATATTAGGATTCCTATTCCCAGGTTTGATCTTTAATCATGACATAAAAGTAACTTATAACCTAATATTTAAAAATAGTTTGAGGCTGGTAGAGCGGCTCAAGTGGTAGAACACCTGCCCAGCAAGCATGAGGCCCTGAGTTACATCCCCAGTACTGCCAAAAAAAAAAACCCAATGTTTCCTCTTACCTGAGATTCAGCCATTATATAAATGAAACCAAGCCCACCCGCTGGAGAAGGAAAAGAGAGAAGGAAGATTTGCAACCCTCAGAGTTCTAATATATAGAAGGAAACAGAGTGCTGTAATGGGGAAACACCACCATTAGGAGACAGAATTTGGGCTGGCAGTATGGCTCTAATGTCCTGAGTTCAATCCCCAGTACCAGAGGGAGGGAAAAAAAAAATGACAGAATTTTTAAAAATGAATACTATAATTTATGTTCTAATATGTTGCTTAAAGATGTGGTAAATACAGCTAAAAAGACAAAGAATTTATGACTAGATGTGTCCTTAAAGAGTCTTTGGCCTCCTCATTCATTTGATAGCTGAGAAATCAAATGACCTGCCCAAAGTTGGTTAGTGAGGTTTGGTACTTGAATCAGCATCCCTATGTCTCCTGATGCCTGAATCAGTGACCTCCCCAACCATGCCAAAAAAAACCTTTCATTCCTGGAACACTAATTCCTATAGTGATGGGCAGCCTTACCGAGGGGCATAATGGAGAGGTATTTGCCTCGAAACTTGCTGGTGATTTTGATTTCCTGACGCAATGTCCAGCCATTTTTGGACTCAGCATGGTGAGCAGCAGCAGGGGGATGATGACTCACCTGGAAGAAATCAGGTTCAAGTAAAGAAGGCAGAAAGCAGAAGGCAAAGATACTGCCTATTAATTGGTGGTGCACACCCAAAATTCTCACTTGACATTTTTACACCAGCAACAGTTAGGTGAATACCAGGGTCACCAGTGTGGAATCCTGAAGGAAAACAAGTCAGGTTGGGATGACAGGACTGGCATTTTCTCAAACATAACACCCTGTCTTTAAAAAGAAAACAAGTTATGATCCTAAGGCTCCATTACCTGCTCACAGAGAGATCGGTACCCATTCTCCTCTAGGCGATCCAGCTCGAAGGTCTCCCCAAGGAGTGGGTTAAATGGCTTGCTGGTTCGGAAGACAGTTGTGGAGTAGGAGGACACGGTGAAAGCTGCAACATAACAGAGCTGCTCTAGAGAGTTTTCACATTTTGCAGCTCGGTCTAACAGCTCATGGTATTCCAGATCTTCAGTAAGGCGCTGAAGCATAGACAAAGGTTCATTAAAGTTCACCTGTAAAGAAAAGAACAGATTGAAAAAATTTCCCAGGTATTTGTCAGAAACAATTTAAATATTTTGCAGATAGAGAAAGAGATACTGAAATGTTGGGCTGATAAGGCCGATCACTAGGATGAGAAGAGGTCTAAGCTCTAGGATTCAACCTGCAAGCAACCCATTCTCCTAGGTCAAATGTCCATGTCAGTGAGTGGCAAAAATCACCATTTTCACTCATTTCAGTAACTATAAGCTCTTTGAGATGGAAATCTTGCCTCTTTTATGCAGCACTAAGACCCAAGACTCATCAGTGACAGGCCCACAGGAGGCCTCATCAAATAGGTGTGTGAATGAATGTAAATTATATAGGAAATCTAATAAATATCAGCACAACTAAACCCAGAGATGAAAGTAGGTATTTAAAATTCTTTTTCTTTTCATTGAATAGTTTGTTCTTAAAGCAACATTTCAGTATTTTAGTTAAGACAAAGAACAACACTTTCTTCTTTTTTTTTTTTTTGCCATACCAGATTGTGAATGCAGGGCTTCAAGCTTTCAAACCACATCTCTGGTCCTTTTTGCTCTGATTATTTTGGAGATAGGATCTTACTTTTTGCCCAGGCCAGCGTGATCCCTGATCCTACTTTTTTTTACAGTACTAGAGCTTGAACTCAGGGCCTGCACCTTGAGCCAATCCACCAGCTCTTTCTTGTGAAAGGTTTTTATTGAGATAGGGTCTCTCGAGAACTATTTACCCAGGCTGGCTTCAAGCATCGATCCTCTTGATCTCTACCTCCTGACTAGCTAGGATTACAGACATGAGCCACAGGTGACCGGCTAAGAAATGGGATCTTGCTATTGGTTTGGATGGGGGGTCTCACAAACTTTTGCCCAAGCTGGCCTCAAACCACTATCTTCCCAATCTCAGTCTCCCAAGTAGGTAGGATTATAGGCATGAGTCCCCAGCATTCAGAATTTTTTTTTTTTTTTTAAATATACATGGCCTCACTATGTTACCCAGGCAGGTTTGAACTCATGGGCTCAAGTGATCCTCTTGCCTTAGCCTCAAGTAGCTGGGTCTATAGGCCATGCCACCACACCCAACTGCTTTCTGCATTTTTGTCCAACTTTCTACTTACCAAACTCTAAGCTTCATGCTACCCTAATACTTACTGTCTTCCCCAATTGTGAAATTAATCTTAAGATTTTCACTATAAAAAACTTTGCTTAGAGAGAGAACAAAACAAAACAAAAGCAACTTTGCTTTCAACAAAGTGTAAAGGGAAATATTTACTTGAAATGCCATTACTCAAAGATAACCACTATTATTATTTTCACATTGTTTCTATGAATTTGTACATTTAAAAACTAGTATACTAGAGCCTGTAGTTTTTCTGAGGAACAAGCCACATGTTTCTCTTTGATTATTTTCCACTGGACTAAAGCCAGAGGACCAACTCTACACACTTACCCATGGGAAGCTGGATCTACCAAAAATGCACCACATTCTAAGACCTTCTTCTCTACACTGAGAGTCAGGTTGTATAAGACACATGCACACTGAAGGGTGAGGAACTGATAAAATCCTAATCCTCAGAAATCTTTTTAAAAGAGGATACTTATTAACTGTGTCAACAAAATCTCTCAAACACAAAATTTCAGACAGCATGGAGTAATATTTCACACATTCAAAGGAAAAGAGTAGGGCTGGGGGCGTGGCTGAAGTGGTAGAGTGTCAAGGAGGCCTTGAGTTCAAATCCCAGTAAAAACAACAACAAAAACAAAAAAACAGAGGAAAACAGTGTACTCCACCAGTGGATACTGGATATACAAACAGGGCCTGGGACTAGAATCAGCGCATCCTTAATCTATCATTGCTTTGCATGCACACACAACCTGCCTTCCAACAACTATTTCAGGAGCCAGTTTCTCCAAAAGTGCCAGGCTCTTTATAAGGGTCACTTTATCATTCAGAGGTCAAATAGGGAAACACGAGTCTAAGTATTTAAAATGGAAAGAAGCAGGGACTTGGTTAAATAGCTAATGGAGAGACGGGCAGAAACAAACAACAACCCAGAGATCAGCAACATCAGGAAGCCATAATGCAGGAACAAAGAAAAGCAGTGGTATTATTGCAACCAGAGGCAGAGGGGATCTTACAGAAGTTAAAACCTTCAGGGAAAGAGGGAGGCCTTATCCACTAAAACTAGAGCCACAAAGATGCTGCCAGAAATGTACCCCTACCCAGCACAACAATTAAAAAAAAAAAAAGATGCTTCCAGAAAACTGCCCAGTAGGGGAGAAATAATCTTTCTCCCCATCTCCTACTGGTGTCTTGTACTGGAGGAGACGAGCCAGACTCCAGCAGTCACATAAGCCTGAAAAACACAGCCTCGAGAGATCAGGTTTCCTGTAACACAGGACAAGGCAAGGGAAGGGTGGGAACTTGATTTGCAGGTGTACAGGTATCAAGCTGCAAATTCCTAATGGCAATGTCAATAAAGAGGTAAAGGAGGGTGGAGATGTCACCTAGACCCAGAATCTATGACTAAGTAGGAACTGTATTTCTGAGACTGTGATGACCTGCCTTTCCAGCATAACTGCTACTTCCTTTAAGGCACCATTAGGGTGCCTTATAATAATCTAGACAAATGGGTCTTCTTTTCAGGTCCCCAATACACAAATTTAGGTTCGCCAATGGGCTTATACATTGTTTTTTTGTCTGAAATTAACCTTTGTTGTGGTTGTCTGCAGTGGTGGAGATTGAATCCAGGGCCTAACAAGCTAGGCAAGTACTTTACCACTGAACTTCATCTCCAGCCCTAGCCAACATATTTTTTAAACAAAAGTCCTACATACTTACATATAATCCTATTTGTTTTCCAAGACCCAGTTATTAATTACTTCAGCATTTATTGAATGATCTATCCATGCCAGGCACTGGGCAAACCATCAGAGATATAAATGCCAGTGAGACGCAGTTTCTGCCATGAAGAACTCTATGAAGGGGCAGAAAGCATATAGTAATCCCTGTGCTCCAAGAGGGTGGGGAGAATGCTTTAATATTTCTTAGTACATAGCTGTGTACAGAACCTACAGCCTCCCCATGGCAAGACTTCATTTCCAGCCTTTTCTTTCTTTTTTTTTTTTGAACTCAGGACCTACACCTTGAACCACTCCACCAGAACTTTTTTTTTTCAAGATAGGGTCTCATGAACTATTTGCCTGGGCTGGCTTCAAACTGCTATCCTCCTGATCTCTGCCTCCTGAGTAGCTAGGATTACAGGTGTAAGCCACTAGCACCTGGCTGCCAGCCTTTTCTTTAGCTAGCTGTGGCCATATAACTTTTTGGCCACAGAGATTTAAGAGATTAATGGATTATTCAATTTCCAGGAAATGCCCTTAAAAGGCAAAGCCTACTTGGCTTCTTTCTCCACCTTCTAGCTGATTACAGTGTAACCCTTATGGCACAAACTATTGAGCCACTATGGACCTAAGAACTGAGGCCACCAAGCAGCAAAGTGACAGGACAGAAAGAAGCCTAGTCCTCAAACAGTGGAGTAGAATACCAGCCCAGGACTACCTACTTCTGGACTTTAACACAAGAATGAGTTAAACCAGTATTTGTTTAAGGTAGGGGTTGCCAGCATTTTCTGTAAGGGGCTAGATAATAAATATTTAGGCTTTTAGGGCCATGGGTCTCTGTCACATCACTCAATAGCCATGAACAAGACATATATGAATGAATATCTCTGTATCCCAATAAAACTTTATGGACATTAAAGTCCATAAACTATGGAGTCTTATGAACTATTATACTCCTTTTGATTTCTTCCAACCACTTAAAACAAAAATCAGTTGGTGGTATGGCTCAAGAGCTAGTATGCTTGCCCAGCAAATGTGAAGCCCTGGGTTCAATTTTAGCACCACCAAAAAATAAATAAATAAATACATAAAATAAAATAAACTGTCAGAAGAAAATTCTTAGCTTGTGGGCTGCATAGATTGCAGCCAGATTTGGCTGAATGGCATTTGCTTGTTGACCACTGGTGTTTCTTTAAATTGAATCTATACCTAACTGGTACAACACTGGGCAAACAGGAGGCACTTAGTAAATGCTTATAGAATGAATAAGCAAATGAAACACTGCTCAGGTACAAAGGCAGCACAGGGAGAGATACTTCATTCTGAGTGGATGTACTGGAGAAGATTTGTTGGGAGAGACAACACTATAGCTGAATCCTGAAGAAAAGAGTTTTAGCCACAGCAAAAGGCAAGTACCAAGGGTTGGTGGGGAATTGAAGAAAATTCAGGCAGAAGCTGGATATGATGGTGCACACCTTTAATCCCAGCACTCAGGAGGCTGAGACAGGCAGACCTTGAGTTCCAGGCCAGCCTTGACACATATGAAGACCCTGATTCAGGAAGAAAGAGTAGTGTGCATAAATGCCCTGAAGGAAAAGACAAGAAGATGCCTCTGAGTACCTGAAGACAATCCTAATGATGAGAACATTGGATGTATAGTACAGAGTCTTACCCATGGGGTAGAAGTACCAAGCCTACTAAGGAATCAGGACTGTGCTCAAAGCATTAAAGATCCAGTGAAGGGTTTTCAGTTGAGGAATGTCATGAACACACTAAATTTCAAAAAGATCACTTTGGTATCAGTGTGGACAGACTGGAGAAAAGTATGACAGGAGGCAGGGAGATCAGGACAAACCTCATCTTCACCATGAAAATGGCCCTCATTTTCCTGGTTGGAACGAATTATTTCTTGATTCTATGTTCCCTAAACCCTTAAACATATAGCACTTCCCAAAACACTATAGTAGAAAATATTTTTGGCCTGTTTCCATGTCTCTCTCTTTTCACTTATATGCTCCTTGAAAACAGAGACAATGCTGTGTTTATCTTTGCATGCCTCAGTGCTTCCAGCACAGGAATTTGCACATGAATAACTGTAATTGAACTTATGCATCTGATTTCATGTGATCTAGCAACATTCCAGATCCACAGCCAAAACTAAACCAACTCATTTAAAAGTATAGTTTATGACCATGCTCAAAACTGCCACACAAGCAGGTGGGACTGTCACATCAGCACCATTTTCACTGAGGCTGAGAGGACCTTCTGGTAGCAGTCTGGGGGTGCAAGGGCCTCACCGGCATGGGGATCTTAGAGAGTTCTTTTCCAATGCAGTTCTTCATGATGCTCCATAAGTTGAGGCTATAGTTTGGCTTGTATGGTATTCTGGTTCTCTTTTCTTTCTTGGTCTCCTCCAGCTGATGCTTGTACTGAGTGCAAAGAAAAAACAGAGCCATTCAATCACCCACAAAGAACAGAAAATCTACTATATACAACTTTCCCTTCCCCCATGCTAAAAAAAAAAAATACCAGAATTTTCTGTTTCTCTTTATCACTTCACAAACAAATCCCTGGGAATCATACCCAAGTCCTGACCTCTGATAAGTTTCACAGAAGAGTTACCTGTTCATCAAGGCTGATGTCACTGCTGGCTCCACTGATGTTGCTGCCAGTGCGTCTGTATTAACAGAAAACATAGAAGAATTAGAAAAAAGACCACAATTCCTGTTTGGTCCTCAACAGTTCTTTACAAAGCAGAATGCCAAATGCTTCACATAAACTTATTGATGGATGATAAATTATAACACTGAATTTAAGTATCTTTAGAGAGCTTTTCATGTAAAAGGCTAACAGTTTTTTTGCGGGGGGCGGGGAGGCAGTACTTGGGTTTGAACTCTGTAGGCACTCTACTTGCTAGGCAGTTGCTCTACCACTTGAACCACTTCATCAACCCTGTTTTGTGTTGGGTCTTGTTGAGATAGGGTCTCTCGAGAACTATTTATCATGGCTGGCTTCGAACTGCAATCCTCCTGATCTCTGCCTCCCAAGTACTTAGGAGTACAGGCGTGAGTCCAGCTAGGCTGACAGTTTTCTACTTAAGGAAAAGAGCCTATGACTTAGTAAACATCCAGAACTATGATAGTCTCACCGAAAAATTTCTAAGCTTTTGATAACCAGATCTGTTCATTTTCTTCAATGGTCAAGGATAACTTACTTGTGGCCCAAATTTTCAGGCATGGTAATGATCTCTGGTGCATCAAAAAATTCATTCTCATCATCTTCATCACTCACGTCCCCTTTTCCAGAGCAACACTGATCTGCAAGGAGAAAAGCCCCATTTGTTTTCCTTGGTTGTTATCTACCAAATGCCTGGCACAGAAGGTTGTTTTAAATAGCCATCACACACACAGCACCAAACTGTAGAAAGCAGTGGAAAAGCCAGAAGAAATAAACACGAGTCATTGATTATGGAGAATGTGGAGTTCTATCAACTACCTGGCTCATACCATAATAACTTATGCAGGAACCATGCATTTTACCTTTACCAGAACCAGCACTGCCAGGAGTGTTTGCCGGCAGCACTGTGGCTCCCCGAAAGGCCCTCTCCAGGTGATTGTGCTGCTTTGCCAACTGCTCCAGGGTCTCTTCCAGTCGGATACGCTGGTCTCTCTCATACTGTAGTGACTTCTGCCACTTTTTACTATGGGTCTGGGCTAACATGAGGAAATCTCTGCAGGCCTGTATAGAGAAAGTGTTGTGTCACCTTAATTAGTCAGATTCCCCTCCAGTCTCTGTAAGCCCATTAAGTAACCTTATTTTGGGAACTGTAGTGGACATACAACAAATAAAGACTTTCCCTATTATTACACAGTATAAGGAACAGCCAGCTCTGAGCTGCATCCAAGGTCAACCCAAAGTAAACAGTTGTCAGGGTTCTCTTACGTTTTCCTGCTCATGAGGACCAAACAAATGCCAAGTGAGCAGTAAACCTTGACAAGGTATTTGTGGCAACATCACAAAGGACAGGTGTGGGAAATGTGCCAAAAGAAATCTATTGACTGAGGAAAAGAAGAAAAAAAAGCACAGATAACTGCTTTCAATACATTCTTGACTAAAATAAACTCAAATAACCTCATGCTGAGGATTTAGACACTGAGAACAGAGAATATGCATTGAATTAAACTAAACTCAGGGAAACTTCTTTTATTTGCAGTACTGAAATTTGAACTCAGGACATTAGGCTTACTAGACAGGCACTCTACCACTTGAATCACTCCACCTGCCTTTATTTTGCTTTTATTTTGGTCACTAAGAGAAACAACTGATCTAAAAAATTAGAAGCCTACTTGAGGAATCAAAGAAGAGATCTAGAGAAAAGACCAAAAATCAGATCATACCAGTCCCTTTACTGGATTTCCACTAAGATTAGGACTGATTATGAACACAGAAGGCCATTCCCAATGTGGCCACCAACTGCCTTGTATCCTCCCCTCCCAGCAGGTGTACTTATTACAATACCACCACACTGAAACCCTCATTGTTTCCTGGACACAGACATTTCTTCCAGGTCCCATCTCCTTCAGCACATGCTATTCACCATGTCTAAAATGTCCTTCCCTAATCACTTTCTTTAAGAAAGGACAGATTTTATTTATTTATTTATTTATTTTGTGGTACTGGGGTTTGAAACTAGGCAGGTACTCTTACCCCTTGAGCCACTCCACCAGCCCTTTTTTTAACAATGGGTTTTTTCAAGATAGGATCTCATGAACTATTTGCCTGGGCTGGCTTTGAACAGTGATCCTCCTGATCTCTGCCTCCTGGGCACCTAGGATTACAGGCATGAGATGGCGAAGTTTGAATAGCTTATTCATACACAAATCTCCAGTTCCTAACACATAGTAGAAGCCTGATAAAGTTTTCTGAATAAATAAATGAAGGAAGCAATGTAAGCTTAAAAGTTTATTCCCTACTATAGAGAAACTAAAAGGTAAATAGAATGTTTGCTTCCGTGGTTTGTTTCAACAATTGCATACTTGTCAATGGCTACTAAATCAGTGTTTCCAACCTACTATGGTTTCAGACAGCATATCCAAATGTTTACTCAATGGCTCAAAGCAACCTCAAAATCAGTGAGTTCCAAACTGAATTCACCAAGTTCTCTAGCTAACTCTGCTTCTTCTGATGTTCCCCATTACAAGACCAAAGCCCTCCCAGCTGCCCAAACCAGTAACCTATGGGACATTCTTTTAATTTTGCTCCTTCCTCACATCCAATTATCAAGTCCTATTTTTATTTCTTTTTTTGTTTTTTGCAAACTGGAGTTTGAATTCAGTGCCTACACTTTGAACCACTCCACCAGCCCTTTTTTGTGATGGGATTTCTTGAGATAGGGTCTCTCAAACTATTTGCCCAGTCTGGCCTCGAACCACGATACTTCTGAGCTCTGCCTCTGAGTAGTCAGGGTTATGGGCAAGTGAGCCACTGGTGCCCAACCTTATCAAGTCCTATTGATTCTTCTTTTTTTGTGTACTGGGGTTTGAACTTAGGGCTTCACACTTGCTGGGCAGGTGCTCTACCACTTCAGTGACTCCAGTAGCCCTTTTTTTGTGTTGGGTTTTTTTGAGATAGGGTCTTGTGAACTATCTGCCCAGGCTGGCTTTGAACTGCCATCCTCCTGATTTCTTTCTGCCTCCTGAGTAGCTAGGATTACAGTGTGAGCCAGGTGCCCAGCTTGAATCTTCTTTACTATTTTTAAAATCTGTACTTTTTTTTCCTTCATCCATACCAGAAGCAGTATAAAGTACATGTACACATCTGGAATTGGGCTGCTAAGGCTGAAATCACAGCTGCATCCCACTATGTAAAATTCTGGGCAAATTATTTAACTTCTCTATACCTCTTCTTTATCTAGATGACAATGCTTACAATAATAACTACCTCAAAGAGTGGTTGTTTTACATTTAAAGCAATTAGAATCACCTAGGGTTCACAATAAGCATTGAGCTAGGTGTTAGCTATTATAATTATGCCTGCATCAAAACTGGTCTCATCCTCATTTAATCTACTACCATTTAGCAGTGTCCTTACCCCCTCTTATCTCCTCTCTAGTCTCACCTTTAGCTACTTCCTTGCTCTATTAATAGTCAATTACTCAGCAGTTCCCAGGCTGTAATCCAACCAACTCTTCTCTCCCCTCACTCCTTCCCTTCTTTCTTTCTTTGTAGAACCAGGATTTGAACTCAGGGCCTTTACCTTGAGCCACTCCGCCAGCTCTTTTTTTGTGATGGGTATTTTTGAGATAGGGTCTCGAAAACTATTTGCTCAGGGTGGCTTCAAACCACAATCCTCCTCATCTCTGCCTCCTGAGTATCTAGGATCATAGGCATGAGCCACCGGTGCCTGGCAACTTTTTTTTTTTGGTGGCACTGGGGTTTGAACTCAAGGCCTCACACTTGCCAGGCAGGCACTCCATCACTTGAGCCACTCCCCCAGCCCTCCCCCATTTCTTTTAATATCGACTTTAACTAAAATTCAGCAAGAGACAGTTACATTTAGTTGATGAGCATGTCATATCTATTACCTAATAAAAGCCTTTCCAAAATGCTATGAAAGGTCTACTACCATCAAAGTCATTTACAGATAAGGAATTGACGTCACAGTGGATGTAGGTTGCCCCCAGTTATACAGAAGATGAAGGAGGCAGTTGAAATCCAGGCCCAAACTCTATATAGTTTTTCTTCACAGGAAGACTTTTACTGCTCCTTCAGAATTTAGCTGCTGCTCTAAACCCTCCCAGTCTGAGCTAAATACCACCAGTGTGCTATTCCACCTATGCCTATTCAATCATGGCACACAGAGTACTCCAGTATGATCCATTCACTTCTCTGTTCTCTCACCATGCAGTAATCTCTTTGTGAGCAGAGATCACACATGCCCTCAGGGATATCCCCTAGCAGTGTGACTAATACAGTAGGTACTTTGGCAAATAAATAAACTAACACTAACAGTGTCAAGTTTACTTCACTATATTCACTTTGGTAGTAAGAAAAGCTGTATCCTAAACAATCACAAAATTGAATAAATGTATCCTCTTTTTTTTTTTTTGGGAGGCACTACATTTTGAACTCAGGGTGGCAAATGCTCTACCATTTAAACCACTTTACTAGCTGTAAGCTGTATTTGTCTTTTGATATAGTAATTTTACCCCCTTACAGCTGTGATGCAGTAGCATATTAATTTTCTTTTCTTTCTTTCTTTTTTTTTTGTGGTACTGGGGCTTGAACTCAGGGCCTTCACCTTGAGCCACTCCACTAACTCTATTTTTGTGAAGGGTTTTTTCGAGATAGGGTCTCTTGAACTATTTGCCTGGGCTGGTTTTGAACCACAGTCCTTCTGATCTCTGCCTTCTGAGTAGCTAGGATTACAGGCGTGAACCACCAGCCAGCTCTTTTTGTTTGTTTGTTTTTGAGACAGGCTTTCACTAAATTGCCCAGACTGGTCTCAAACTCACAATCCTTTTGCCTCAGCCTCCCAAGTGCTGGAATTGCAGTTGTGGGCCACCATACCAACCTCATTTTTAATATGCCTTCTACATTTAAGGCCTTGCTTTATTACCTGAGAGGTACAAAGAAAACAACACAGGAATAAAAATGCATTCAAGCAATAACTGGCTATGAAAGGGGCAAAAAGAGGAAGAAAATAGAGCTTACTTCTGTTGGGTTGCTTTGTTTTGTTTGTTTTGTTTTGCAGTGCTGGGGATCAAACCCAGGCCTTGAACATACTAGACAAGTATGCTTTCCGTAGCTGGAGAGCTTATCTTTGACTTCCAAAGGATCATTCCCTTTAACACGAACTATACCCTGAGAACTTGGGAAAGAATTTCCTCAAGGAACAAAGATGAGTATGTTTTTAAGAGAAAAGGTCAAAATAAATTTCAGTATATGAATTGAGTATTTTATTTAGCAAAAATTTCATATCAGAATAGAAAAAAACTGTCATGGAATGGAGTGCTCACCTGACATTTATAAAAAGTAGCCCTGAGTTGTTCTATTTTAAAAGTATACATGTTTACTATCAATATCTTGGCCTGTATAATTTATGAGGCTTTCCTGATCACAAGGTGATCAAAAAAGTCATTAAGTAGTACAACAGTTTGGAAAAAGAGCACATGACCAGCCATTGGAAGCAAAGGCATCAGCACTGACTTGTCAAGGGAGGTTAGGAAATAATCTTCCTGCAGTCCCTTGCTGGAGAAAAAAGTTTGTCTTCTTTCTTTCTTGTGTGGATCAGAGCAGTGAACAAAATGTTTCATGATTCAGAATATGATATTAAAATAAAATTTATGGGGCAGGGTGGAGAAATGACCCAAACAATGTATGCACATGTGAATAAATAAACAAAAATAAATAAATAAATAAATAATAAAATTTATCACAATTTCCACCTAATAACAAAGGAGCAAAATGAGAAAAACTATATTTCCTCTTGGTCACAGGAACAGGTCTTTGGTCTTTCAGAGCCATGTAAACTGAACTAGCTCTAAGCAGATGTCTACTACCACTCCCTAAACAGGGGAAAATCTGGGACTAGTGAAGTAATTTCATTCCACTTAATTAGACAGAGGGAAAAAAAAGCTCTGTGAAACTCTCTCTCACAGAACACTCCTCTCGCTTATGAAATGTCTTCAAGTGGAAGGGAATTAAAACAACTTGCCAGGTCAGAATCAGTTACCAGTAGAGGAAAAACAGCATTGTTAAAACCATGTATTCATTTCATATTATCATCAGTAATGTGAGTGATGCTTTGTGTCTACCTGGAGCCTTGCACTCACACAGCTTAAATATCCCACAAAGGACAGCCACCCAAGATAGGAGTCATAAAAAAGAAGAAATATTACCTCTTCTTTTTAAAAGAAAGGTGCCCAAAGTTGAGTGTTTTGTCTTATCAACAGAATTGCCCCTGAAATCAAGGACTAAAGACAGGACTAACTAGCAAGATTCTTACTCATATGTACTTGATCCAGGCCCACTCACCATCATCCTATATGCCAGAATACATTAGCCAAGTATGGATACGACTCCAATAGTGGAAAGGACCTGAAGATCTTTAGTTTTAACAGACTAACCTATATAAAAATAACCAAATAAACAGAACCACAGCCCAGAGAGATCTAGGGATTCAACTAATATCACCATGAGATGTCCTGCTGTTTGCAGAAGCAGAGCTGGACCTCTGGATTCCTTACTAACTTCCAGGCTAAAGTAATATCCTCCTGACCACTTGAGCAGGGCATGAAAGTCATTCTACCCATGCAGCCTGTTCTAGTTCATGAGACAAACAAGGTAACTCAAAGCCCTTGAGCAGTGAAGCAGAACCTAATGTTCAATGCCTTATCAATTACAATTTTCAGGCACTGGGGAAAATTATGTTTCACAGAGAGAAAGAATCAAAAGGCATCAGAGACCCCATCTGTACTCACATTGATCATGGCATTGGATGTTATCCTAAAGAGTGTGGCTCGTTCATTGACCTGTTTGATCTTTTCGTTGCTCTCAGCAGGTAACTTCAGAGACTCCAGTTCACTAAGGGAACGCTGCAGGGCTGTGCCATGCTTAGCTATCAAGTCATTACATGTGCTCAGGTCTTCCACTTTGCTGGAGAGGGTTCGGAGTGTATTCTGCAGCTCAGTCTTGTCAGTTTGTGATACAGACTCTTCATCTCCTGATTCATCTGTAGGAATGGAAAGGTAAGCTATATGCCTCAAGAACCAGGACTCAAGAGTTGGAACCCTACGTATTCTACCAAAAAGCAAACTGATACTCTGATGCTATGCATTCTGAGAGACTGAGGGCTTGCCATTACCAGATGATTTCTCTACAGTGGACCACAGGTCATCTGCACCATAAATACCTGGGGTGTGTCTTAAAGATGTGGAGTCTCTGGTCCCACCTCTAGAGACTTTGATTCAGCTGGTGAGAGGTAAGGCCTGGTAATATGCTGCCCAGGTAATTCTGATCCATGTTGAAGTTTAAGAACCACTGACCTAGAGGATATGTTGGAGAAGCTGAATGGCTCTTGGAACCAGGAATGTATCATTGAGTCTTTAAACTTTAGCTTGAGGGTTCTAGTCTTGTTCAAACTAATTATTACCACAAATCCACCATTATCAGTTGGGTGACTGGTAGATCCTCTAAGAAATGAGTTATAAATCACAATTTAGCTCTTCATGGCAAAGTCTATGTCACTAAAACTTCTGTTAATTTATCTGCTCTGAAAGAGAGCTCAGGAACATCATGATGAACTCATTTGGCACTAAAGTCACTATAAAAGCAATGCAAGGTCTTACAGTAAATAGTTCAATAATAAGTTCCAATAATAAGCCAAGTAGAGAAGCTATGGTATACCTCTCACTATCAGTTTTATACTTAACACTTTACAAAAGTGCTTTAAAAAGTGCTTTCCTAGCATTGTCACTTCATTTGGGGAGCTAACATCAGCACCAGAATTAAACAAAATAAATAAGAAAAAATCTGCCCTATCTGTGAGACAGAGAGGCAGGGTCAAGGTCAAAATATAACCTGCTACCAAAAAATTTATGAAGCAATGAATTTTCCTTTCACTTCTTAGTAGATATTAAATACAGTATAGGAAATCACAGGCAATAAGATAAATAACAAACAAAAGTCAGCAGGGGACCATCTAGGTTCACTCTAAATGAACAAGCTCAGTATGATGCAACTATCAATATGTTGGAAGCAAGTCTTACCAATCTCCTTGAAGAAGAATCAGAACATCACTAAATTGTTCTTTTTAGTGTAACTAATGCAACAAAATAAATATTTTTCATAGAAATATTGCATACAAAGTTTTTGGTTGTCTATTAAGATTGTTTCAATTTAACTAACAAGTAAGAAGCTGTTACAAAAAGAAAGAAAAATACGGATAGATCCCAATTATAAGTTGTAAGAACGCTAAAACTAACCTAGTAATAAAGTAATTATGTCCCAACATTTTAATATAGTCAATTGGCATTAAAAAAAAATAAAAGCACAGTGTTATGTCTCTAGAACAGAGTTTTTCAATCTTGGATGGAAATTCTTTGCTCTTTGTGATTATTCTGTGCCTTGTAGGGAGGTTAGCAGTATTCTGGGCCTTTCACTCTCCGGATGCTAGTAGCATCCCCACCCTTCAGTGGTGACAACTAAAAATGTTTCCAGACATTGCGAAATGTCCCTGGGATAGCTAAGAAATAGGTGATAATCAAATGACACAGTACATCGAGGGACAAAAGACTTGTGCATAAAATAGAAAAACAGAAAGTTTCCCAGGCTTGGTGTTCTTTGATCCCCACCTGATTCTGCCAGCATCTTCACAGCCTTGGCCTTGGCCAGCTCCAGGGCTGTCACCCAGCGCTGCCGCTCTACTTCTGAGCTAGCTTTTAGATGGTAGGTCTGAGCGCCCCCATTGGAAATGATGAAGTTGCAGGAATCCTCCACAGTGATGTTAGCTGTGGCAAGGTTGATGGTACCACGGCAGGTGTGTCTCATTTCTGCCTTTGACCTGCAATAATGAGACAAAGATAAGCTAAAAGGAAAGTGATGGTTTATCCTTCATCACATTCCATTTCTTTTTATAACCCTGAGCCTTTTGTAAATTCAGTAGTCTTAAAAATCAATAAATTCTAGTTATATTTCCCTCAAACAACCCCCTAAAATCTGAGAAATAGTAGAGAATTTCTTTCAGAACCTAAAGTATTACTTCTCAGTCAGATACCATTGCCCTGCTGTTTCTCTCACCATTAGCTTTTAAGGTTTTTTTTTGAAGGGTCAGGGGAGTACCGGTGGTTGAACTGAGGGCCTTGCACTTGCTAGGCAGGTGCATTACCACTTGAGCCACTTCACCAACCCACCATTAGCTTTTTTTTTTTGTAGTACTGGGGCTTGAACTCAGGGCTTTCACCTGAGCCACTCCACCAGCCCTTTTTGTGATGGGCATTTTTGAGATGGGGTCTCAAGAACTATTTGCCCAGGCTGGCTTCGAACCTTGATCCTCCTGATCTCTGCCTCCTGAGTAGTGAGGATTACAAGCATGGGCCACTGGCCCCAGCTCTACCATTAACTTTTAAAGATAGGCTTCAACTGAGGATATGACTACATACAATATTTATTCAGCAATTTTAAGTATTTTGATGAATGTATGCAATTGTGTAACAACTACCATAATAAAGATGCAGAACATTTCTATCACCTCAAAGTTTCCTCATGCCCTTCTGCAATCAGGAATTACTTTCTACTTAGCAAGTTATAAAGTGTTTTATAACCTCATGCAACAAAATTTTGTATAATAATCTCATTCCCTAAGAATAGCTCCATTTTATACATACTGAACCGTTCCCCTCACTGTAAATCAGCCCAAAATGAGAACTATCGCATCATGCTTAGAATTATATTGCAGAAGTGTATAAAAAGGCAAACCTTAAATGTTTAGAGTATTAAATATTGGCTACGGCTCAAATGATATGAAATAAGACTAACTATCTCGTTGACACAGTTTAGAAGGAATAACCATGAAGGAATCATCAGGCATTTTAATCTTTCTGGAGAATGTTCTTTCCTAAGGTTCACAGACTTCTATTGGTGGGAACTCCTAAGCCATCCTATTAATAGCTAGGAAAGATTCAGCAGATCTGCACTTCAGAGGACTGGGTGTAAAAATTTTCCCAATCTCTGCTGACTGACAGTTCTATTAATAAACTAATGTTTGAACTTTACAGCACTACTTGGTTGCAACAAGCTACAAGGCACTTCACATAAAATATCATGCTTCACATAAAACATCACAATTGAACAAACATTGTAAACTGCTAATTTCTTCACCGCCCGCTGGTTATGCCCAGGGACTTGCATGTTGAGACTGCAGTTTTCTCTGTCCAACTTGGAACATAAAGAGGTCAAAGTCCTTTGCCAACTGCCACAGTACAAAGCGGAACTATTTCACTTTCAGTGGAGCCAAGTGACCAAACACACCTGGTACATCCAGAATTCCTACAAGCCAGAAATGGCACATATCCCATCTCCAAAAACTAAGATTTGTATGTTTGAGACAGTATGTTTACTGTGGTTAGGAAGACCTATTTGCTGCTGTTCAGTTTGTCATATGAAACTGTTTTTCCTTCCTCAAATGCACAAATGAGCAAAATTGAATCTCTAGAGGGGGTCTCAATGGACTGGGCTATCTTCCATCCCCTGCACCTGCCACACTGTAATGTGAATCTCTTGTTTTTTTCTATTCTTACCTCCCTACCCCCAAGCTTCAGTTACATTATGAATAATGCAGGCTGAATTACAGACACACAGCTGATGGGTCAGCTCACCCTTTCTATTCCAAGGGTGCTACTTGGACCTTCTATCACATTCCTCCTCACTGGCACTTTTCACTACTTCCTAGGAATATCTTCTGCCTGGGTCCTCTTCATGCACTAAAGAAGTTCCTTAAACCACAGAATGTCTACAACAGTTTAACAAATAGTAAGGAACTCTGGGAAAAAGGCGGGCTTGACCACAAAGCTCTTGGGATTGGGAAGATACGTCTATGGTTATAAATGATTAGTTCAGAAGCCAGAAAAACATGATTCTCAGAGTACAAGGAAAGTTCTTAAGGTAATACGGTATTATGTAGTATTTTCTGACTAGAAAGTTCTTGCCTGAAAAGGCCAGCAGAAATGGTAATTTAATCTCCCAGAAGCTAGCCAGGAAGACTAAAACCCTATCTTGTCAGGATGTTTCTTAAAGAGCTAGGATTCTACGTAAGATTTTAAGTAATGGGGCACTGAATATATAAAAAGAAGGAAATGGCTTGCCAAGGTATATTAAGACAGTTTATGAGAGGATGGGTCTAGAAAGTACATGATCTCAGTTAGAAGAAAAACGTTATTTTGGAAACGGCATACATAAGAGATTGGAGGTTTTGGAAGCATGAAAACAAGAAAGAGGGTAGTGGGGGAGAGGGAAGGAGCAGGGCGGTAAGGGAGGGGGCAGGGGAAAGGGGGGAGAAATGACCCAAACATTGTATGCACATATGAATAAAAGAAAACAAAAAGAAGGAATAACAACTTGGATAACTAATTCTAGGAGGAAGATGAGGGCAAGAAGAACCATGCAAGGAAGATATAGTTGGAAAGAAGTACTTCACTGCAATTTTGAGGGTAGTATATGAGTTGGATAAAGTGGATCTTGTCTGTGAGTGGGATCATCCTAGTTTGCAAGGATAGGCCAATGGCATATTTCCCAATTAAGTGGGTTGGTACATTTTGGAAGGAGTTTTATCTGCAGTCAGACATGTAACACTAGCTCTTATAAGAGAGAAGTTAATAACTTAAAAAGAGGGGAGTTAGGAGGGAGCGGGAGGGGGGTGAGGGGGGAGATGGACCAAACAATGTATACACATATGAATAAATGAATAAACAATTTTTAAAACCTTAAAAAACAGCAACATGTAAGTTATCAATATTCAATATCAAGACTGGTACTGAATAAATAATAAACAAATAAACTGGCCTGGAAAATGGATAAACTAAGAACTTGGATGAACTGAAGAAAAGACACACATTGGCCGGCGCCAATGGTTCATGCCTGTAATCCTAGGTACTTGAGAGGCTAAGATTGGGAGGATTATGGCCCAGCCCAGGCAAATACTTTGAGAGACTCCCCCTTTCCATCTCCAAAATAACCAGAGCAAAATAGACTGGAGGCATGGTTTAAGCAGTAGAGCACCTGTTTTGGAAGCATGAAGCCCTGAGTTCAAACCCCAATCCCATCAAAAAAAGAAAAAAGAAACACACACACATTAAGGCCCTTTAAGCTGATGCACAATTTTTGAAAACGGGGAATCAGTGCTAATAGTGATTTATGTGCTGTCAGGATATGAATTAGAACATTAGAATGACAAGAAAACATGAGCTTGAGTAGGAGTAAAAAAAATTTTTTTTAACTCTGAGGAAAACTAATATTTAGATTTGTGATCTAACCCTAGTTAGAAAAGGTTATATTAAAATCAATTCTGAACAAAACAATGTAAGTGTTCATAATTAATGTCACTTGAGCAATAAGGATGAGTTATCGAAGGCATCTTATACTGTTAGGGGACAGATAAGAATGTTTTCCCGCCAACAATCTCCACTTTCAATTTCTCATCAAAATTCTCTAAGAGGCAATACAATGGAGTTGACAGAAAGGAGATTTGTTCACCCTAACTCTCCTGGTAGTAGAGTGACTACTAGTGAAGGAAAAGAAATACAGCGTGAGCTCCCTGTAACATCAGTGTGTTGGGTGTCAAATACTATGGTCTTTTAGAAGAGATTTCAATTAGAAATAACATTATATTAAGTAATGTCCTCAAAAATATACCTTATTATACTTTTTGTATAAAACATGCAGGGTAAACTTACTTACTTAGGTAAGTGATTATCTCTTTACCTGGGTTTTAGGTTATGTTGGTGTGAACAGTAGTTTCAAATTCTGACTCCTCCAAGACCTTGGGACAGATGCCCATGCAAAGTCTCAGCTTCCTCATCAGAAAGGTGGGAATAGCTCCTAACTACCAGGGTTGTTGTTGGGAGCCAATATGCATGTAAAACACCTGGCCACAATGTGGAGACCTTGGAAAATGTGTACGTCCTGTCCTGAAATCACCTATCTCAGCACCTCTATCTATGTTATGACTAGGCTATGAATCACCATAAGTATATATTTGCCATTCCCAAATAAACATTGTCCAGCATAAGCAATCATATTTCATCCTAATTCACCAAAAGCTCACAGAAATGTTGGATGAAACACTTAATCGTTCCCATGGGGAGTGAATAAAAACAACCCTAGAGCACATCTCCATTCTGGGCTCTCCAGAAGGCAAAGCGTGTGCAAGCCTCGGAGAGGGAAGACGTACAGGACAGAAGTCCCAAGCCACCTTGTGTGTGGTGTGGTGCCCTGGAGCCTGCAAATGGGAAGAGCAAGAGCAGGTACATCAAAGGCCACAAATAACCTTGAATTTCGGAGAGTGGCATGGCCACTGACTTGGGACTTTGCAAGTTCCCTGGTCGCAGTGCTCAGGCCTTGCTCTCCTGTGTGCCCCTTGGTGCCTGTAGCAGTGCCTGGCTTGCAGAATTCGTAAACACAATGGGAGAACAGATGCTCCCCAAACAACTGCCGACACGAAAGGCCAGGGCGTGTGAAGATGTGGCACCGGGGGCGGGAGGGGATCCTCGGTCCCGGGGCTTTCACTTTGGTGATGGAGGTCGGTCAATCCACGCAGGGGACCCGGGGCGACCGTGGCTGCAGTGCCGGCTGGCCAGTGACCGCACGGGGCTGTGGGCAGCCGTGGGGGAGGCCAGGTGAGTGACAGCGCCCCGGAAGCAGTTACCTGTAGTAGCTCAAGAGCCCGTTGCTCAGCACGAACCACCGCCGCTGGTAGCCTTTGATGTAATTGGTCCATTTGAAGAGCCAGCCCTCTCGAGCCGAGCCCGAAGCCCCGGCGCCCGAGCCGCCCGAGCCCCCGGACGGAGGCACAGGAGCTGGGCCCGCCGCCGCCACTCCGCCGGCCCCGGCGCTCGGGCCGCCCGCTGACGCCGCGGCCACCGTCCCTGACGCGACCCCGGGGCCGGGCCCCGAGTCGCCGCGGCCGCCGCCTCCTCCCACCACAGGGGGACCGGCGCCGCCGCCGCCAGGAGCTGCAACGGCGGCCGGCCCTGGCCCCACCACTCCTCTCAGCTCGGTCGCCGCCATGAGCCGCCGCCGCCCTGAGATACAGGACCGGAACCGCCGACGAGAGCCGCCGCCGCCGCCGCCCTGAGCGCCCCACACGGCTAGTGCATCAGCCGCCGCCGCGCAGCGTCCCCGCCCCGCCAGGCCCGCCGGGGAAAGGAGGGCTCGACCGCCGGGAAGAAGGACGTCGATTGGTGCCGCTGAGTGTCACTTGCGGAAGACCCCGCGGACATTGGCATTTCTCTCCGGCCTGTCATTCTACTCCGCCCACTGAGAGCCTGGGGCGGGACGCGTCCATCAGCCCAGGCGTTCATTGGTTCAAACAAAGGCCAATTAGACGCATGTGCAAGCTCATTGGTGATTTCCTGAAGTCTAGCTCTCCCAGATGGCAAGGGAATGCAGAGTGCCCGGCCAATTTGACCGCCAATTGGCTAGTATTTCCGCCACTCATTTCAGTTTATGCTTCTGTCATCGCCACGTCACCTCCTTCCATCAAGCTTCTCATCATCCTCTTCCGCCCATACGGATTGGTTGTTGGCATCAGCTGCCCAACCTTTTCTTCCATTTATTGAACGCATTGAGGCAAAATGGGCGCGGGGGGGCCCCCCCCACTTCACGTCCTCACTTTAATTTCTTATTGGCTGCTGTCTATGTCACTCATACGTTGACGGAGAGGCGGGGCGGTAGTTGGAGATGATTGGTTCTGAAGGTTGTCTGTGAAAGCTGGAACTTGGCAATATTGACCAATGAAAAAGACCTACTGAGAGAGGGACAGGTAGGGACAGCCAATACAATGCAGGGTGTTTGGGGTGTGTCCGCCTGCTTCCAGCTTTAGGGAAGTTAATGGGAGGCAAAAGCTAGTTGGCTTCTGTAGTGTGCTTTAGGATGGGGGCGTATTGTCCAATTCCCTCTTCCTGAAGTAAGACCTCCAGATTGTTTAGGAGAGCTGGGCCGGTGACTTTCTGTAGTCAGAGTCCTCCTGAGCCTTCTTTTAGGGCCCCTTTCTCACTCAGCTGGAGGGAGGCCCTGCTTCCTGGGAGACTCAGAAATAGCTTCCCCAGCCCCCTTCTGGACCCAGGATTCCCCCAATTCCCTTCCCTGGTTTGCTCATTATCGCCCCACACCCTTTATCTCTTGACTCTAGACTGTCATACGCCTCTGCTAATTCTGCCCCACGAGTTGCTGACCTAGCTTCAGGGGAAAATAAGTAGATTTACAAGGACCTAATTTTATTTGTCTCTTGCAGACCTAAAAGGCCCTTTTTGGATTTAGCATCAAAAACGCACACAATTATATACTTAACTTTAGACAGAAAATCGTTATTTTTGATCAATGGAACTTGCTTACACGTTGTGAAAATCCTAAATTCAGTAACTAGTGTAACGTTTAGATGTTGTGAACTATTGTTAACAAATGTAGCTAAAAGCACGTCTTTTGGGAAATACAGCACAGGTTACGTTTACCCGTTTGAACAAGCAGTAGAAATAGCTTTCAGACAAAATGATTTTCCTTGACAATGTCAAGAAAGTAAAGAAAAAATATCCTTTTTTGGAAAATGGTTTCAAAATGAGAAATGTTTATTGAATTCTGGAGAAAGAATACACAAAATCATCACTTTTATATAGGCTACTGGGAATTAATTTTTCAAGTGAACTAAAGCTAACTGATTTATGCTTGAGTCCTGCTTTTTCTACTTACTGGCTCTCTGACTTTGAGAAAGTCATTTAAGCACTCCAAGTCTCACTTTTCACAGCTATAAAAAGGAATAAAAGTTTAGAAGGATGTCGTGATTAAGTGCATTTGAATGTGTTTTATAAACTGCAAACAGCTACAAAAAATGTGACTTATGTTCCCAAATATCCCTCAGTTCACTTCCCAGTCCCGAAGAAGAAACACTTTTACAGCCTGGAGATCTGGTTGTCCTGATCCTAACCCACTTATCCAACTTAGCATCATTACCTCTGGAACAATCAACATTTTTATGAGGTACCTGGTGTGCAGCACAAAATATACATGATCAGTTAATGAAGTTTCCTTGTGCAAAATTTTTGAAACTGAATCTAATCAAGCCTTTAGATTTAACCTCCAGTTTATAGGTACTGGAGAAACCAGTTAAATGATACCTCCATGGAGTATAGAAGACAAAATATAAAGATTAAGTAAATCAATGCCATAAAAACATCAGGAGTGATTGCCCTAAATTAAAAAAAAAAAACAAAAAAACTTAAGTGGACTTGGTGGCTCAAGCCTATGAATCACAACACTGGGGTGTTGGAGGCAGATGGATCATTAGTTTCAAGTCAGCCTGAGCTTCAAAGTGAGACCCTGTATAAATAGGTAGACAGATAAATAGAAAAACAAATAAATTTAAAAGACACCATCAGATGACTGGATTCTGGTTCTGCAAAAATGGCCACTTAGACATTTTGGGGAAAGTTGAAAATTGACTTATATTAGATGTTGTTAGGCAGTTACTATATTTACTGAGAGAAATAATGAGGGAGGTAGATATGAAGGAAAACATCTTTAAAACTTTAAAAAATGTGCTGAAGTTTTTAGAGTGAAGAATCTTATTTCTGTAATTTCTTTTGAACTTATTTGGCAAAAAAAAGAAAAAGGAAGAAGTTCAGGTAAGACTAATAATTTTGCAGTGAAAAAACACTTGAGAAAACAATTTTAAGAAGGATTTATTTTGGTTTATGGTTTCAGAGCTTTCAGTTGCAGTCACTTGGCTCTGTTACTTCTGGGCCTATGTATGGTAATGCAGAATATCACTGCAGGGAAATGTGATGGATCAAAGCACAGAGAGAGAGAGAGAGAGAGAGAGAGAGAAGCAGGCACAAATATATCAGGGCAGGTCTTCCCCCCACCCCCCTTAGTTCATTCTCTCTGGAAACACCCTCACGGATATACTCGCAGGCATCTGTCACTCCAATGACGTTGACAGTCAAGATTAACATTACCTCTTGCCTTACAAACATTTATGTTTCATACATATCTTCCCTACTAGAGGATTAATTCCTCCAAGGTGTGACCTGCATCTGTTTCATCTTTGGCTCCCCCACAATAGTTGCCACATAGCCTACCATAGTCACGTATTTACCAGTATTTGTTGTGCATCTATTATCAGTCTTCAGGCCTGAGCCAAGTGTTGGGAACACAGTAGTGAATGTCCAGATGCACTTTGGTTCCTCATGAAACATAAAGGATCTTAGGGATGGACAGGTATTAAATAAGAATCATACAAATGACCAGACACAGTATTGTATAGAGAAAATATGTAAAGTAATTGCATATATATATTCACTAATATGGAGGACAAGAAGCATTGTGAAAGAAAATAACAGGTGTAACTTGTTTGAAAGAAGGCTTACCTCTCTTCAAGCTATGATTGGGGGCACAGGAGAAGGTTTAGGAATGAATGGAGATAGTCATTTGTGTGTGAAGGTCTGAGGAAGAAAAGAGAGGCAATGACTGAGGTAAAGACCTATGGTCTGGGAAGCTCAGAACCAAAAGGGCTACAAAAGGCCTCCCAAGGTTCAATGAGAAGCAATTAAAAGGATTAAGTCAAGTGACATCAGTTTTTGTTTAAAATGACCACTGATTGTTGCTATCTAGTCACCAGACTAGAGAGAGGTCAGCAGTTAAGATGCTGTCTTTGGAAAGAGAAATACTGGTAGCTTGACTGAATGTGGAGAAATGGAGAGAAGTAGACAAATTCTAGATAGGACTTGGAGATAGGATTAGTAGAATTGGGCACATGGGAGTGAGTCAATGTAAGCACTGTGTGTGAAAAAAAAGTTACAGTTTTTTGAAATTGGTGATTGATTTTACCCTGGAGTTCTTTCCTCTTGCATATACGCAGTCAGAAACCGAAATCTGGGAGCCCTTTTGCAGCCCTTTTCTTTACCTTTAAATGAGTCTACCACCAGTCCATTTTTTCAGAATGTGCTTCACAGAACAAACAGATCTTCCTAAAACAATCTGATATTTATCAGAGTTCTGTGCTCAGCAATCCTCAGTCCTCCCCTTTGATCTGTAGGATAGAGTTGATAAATAACTTATTTTGCCACCGAAGGCCTATCACTCCTATGTCCTAACTTTCCTTAACTGTCTCATTTTTCACTACTCTGTTCAAACCAGAATGGTTTAACTGCCAAACTCCAATGATTTGGACATCTTTGCTTTCATGATTTTTTGAGGATTGAACCCAGCGCTCCATGCACACTAGACATGCACTGTACCACATTCCCAGCCCTAGACTATTTTTTAAAGAGCAGTTTTAGGGCTGGAGGCATGGCTCAAATGGTAGAGCACTTCTCTAAGAAGTGCAGGTTCTGTGTGTGTGTGTGTGTGTGTGTGTGTGTGTGACTAAGAAGAAATACCAGTATGTCTCAGGCTATAATCTCCACAACTTTACTGGGGAGTGCTCCTATCTGTGTAGGAGTGAAGGCAACAGGATGGATTAGAAATTGAGCCAAGGTGCAATTACTACAGAGGCCTCAGGCATGGGGAGAGCTGGAGTTGGGTTGGCTCATCCAGAGGTCCTGCACTGAGAGAAGATAAGACTTACCCTGCAACTTATCCAGGGAGAGGGCAATTTCCACAGGAAGAGAAACTCAGCTGTGAGCCATGAGCTACCAACAGTTTCAGCAGCTGGGGAGGGAGTACTTGGTCTTAAAGTAGGAAACTTTGTGGAACTCCAGAGCATCCATTATAGCATAAAACTTTTTTCTCCTGTTAGAATTTCTTTGGTTCTCTTAACCTACATGAAAGCAGAAGCAGACTGGACACCTGATAGATACAGTACTTGATGCTAAGCCTAATGTTATGTTTACCAGAGTGATGCTGAGATTCGTCCTCTACCCCTAAACAATCCTTAAAGCCTACTAATTCCAGGTACTGTGTTCGACTGTGGAAGAGTTTGGGGGAATGAATTCTACTTTTGTGGTCATCCAAGTCTGCCTGCTTTTGCATGCTAACTTTTCTGGAAGCAAAGGCTGTACCCTAGACTTTCAATCTTCCTCTTTTTGTTCAAGTTTGTGCAACATAATGATGAAATTCACTGAAACTA